CAGCCCGGGGCGGTGCTGCCCGCGTTCCGCCCCCGCCGTCACGGCCGGGGAGGAGCGGGGATGGGCCGCAATCAGTGCCCGCAGTGCCCGTCCGCAGCTCCTGATCGCCAACCCGCCCGTGATCCCTGCCCGCAGCTCCTCCTGCGAACCCTGCCCGTGATCCCCGCCCGCAGCTCCTCCTGCGAACCCTGCCCGGGATCCCTGCTCGCAGCTCCTCCTGCGAACCCTGCCCGCGATCCCTGCCCTCAATCAGTGCCCGCAGTGCCCGCCTGCAGCTCCTGATCGCCAACCCGCCCGCGATCCCTGCCCGCAGCTCCTCCTGCGAACCCTGCCCGGGATTCCTGCCCGCGATCCCTGCCCTTGGTCCCTGCCCGCAACCTTTGCCTTCAGCACCGCCCTGCAGCCCTGCAATTGCTGCCCCTGCCTGCAGCTCTTGCCCGTGATCCCTGCCCATATTCCCTACCCATGTTCCCTGCCCATGTTCCTTGCCCCTATTTCCTGCCCATGTTTCCTGCCCATATTCCCTACCCATATTCCGTACTCATGTTCCTTGCCCATGACCCCTGCCCGTGTTCCCTGCTCCTGTTCCCTGCTGTGTTCCCTGCCCATGACCTCTGCCCGTGACCCTTGCCCATGTTCCTTGTCCCTATTTCCTGCCTGTGAGCCCTGCCCATGTCCCCTGCCCGTGTTCCCTGCCCATACTCCTTGCCCATATTCCCTGCCCCTGTTCCCTGCCTGTATTCCCTGCCCGTGATCCCTGCTCCACTGGAAATGACCCGGGCGGGTCGGTGCCCAGGAGCCGTGCCAGGCAGTGCCAGCGCTTTTCGGGACCATCAGGCTCAGCCAGGACCCCCAAGCAGATGTGGGGCACTGGGTGCAGATAACAGCCGCCCTCACCCAGCTGCCTCCCTCGTGCGACAGGAACAAACGCGTCAGCCTGGGGTGATTGCAGCAGAAACCACGAGGTGCTGATTTAATGTTTGGTTTTSAGTCCCTCTGTGACCCTTTAGCCTCGGTGCTGATTGAGAAACCTTCAGCTGAGGGCGGGCAATGCTGCAGAAGGAACGGGCAACCCCAGAGTAAGAGTTTGGTTTCTGTAGAGATGAGCCCAGTGATAAACAGAGACAGACTTTCTAATTTGGAGGTTGTGATGTGGGTGGATGCTGCAAGATAAACCAGTTGCCAGAAACTGCCATCCCAGTGCTCGCTACCGCCATGGCAGGGACTGGGAGGAAAACTGAAGGGCAGGAGGGCTGAATTGCCCAGTTGTGCAGTTGGAGAGCAAATATCTGCAAACCTTTCCGTGCAGAGCCCACCCCGGTGATGCTGGCACAGCTCCTGCCGTGYCACACAATCACCCGGCCCAGCCATGACCCACTTTGGGGCTGTGCGGAGGCAGAGGCTGCAGGTAGGGATGTGATTACAGCAGAGCTTCCTGCAGGCTGAGGTGTGGGATGTGTGCCCTGATCCCAGATTTGGGGGAACRCACCAAACCCACCCAGGGATGCCARAACACCACAGCATCCCAYGGAGCTGCTCGAATCCCCACAGCCTGCAGGGATAATCTGCCATTTCAGCCCACTCGGGAATGTTCTCTCGTGGGCTTTTCTCCAGGGATTTACATAACCCTGTGCCAAGGAGGCAGGAACAGGAAATATTGTTCAGGAATGTTACCTGGATGGGTTCAGCTCATCAGGATGGCACAGAGGGCCTGGAAACAGCTTCACAGTGACAGGGCAGCTACTGGGAGCTGCTCTGATCTCCCAGTCCAGGCAGCAATTCCAGGCTGGATCATGGAATAGCTCAGCCTGGCTGCTCCCTGCCTGACAGAAAATGGAACAGCAGCTTTTCCTGAGCCTTTCCCAGGACATCCCACCCTGCAGGATGTGTGACCAGGGACACATCCAACAGCTCCAAAGGTCAGTGCTGTGCCACAGCCCCGGCTGGGAATGTGGGATCTGCCTGCAGGGACTCCGCTGGCTCTCCCAGCCTCAGGCACCCCAAATCCCTTCCAGACCCTTTCCAAAACTCAGCCCCTGGCTCTGGACTCCCAGCTGGAGGCCTGGGAGGGAATGGGGCACCCTGGCACCCCAAAACAGCTTTCTCAGATTTCCATTCACCCTGACCTTGGCATCGGCACCTCGAGTTTTGGTCTGAGTTACACAACCTTCCCCACCACTTCTTTTGAAAGAAAAAGAGACTCTGGGACATCTCAATTACAAAATAACATTTGAAACTTGTCAGGGTTTATTAAGTAAGTGTCACACACARCAGTGAGTTGCAGGCTGGAACCAGGAGGCAGGAACAGGCTGAGCTGTTCCCTCCCCGTGGTGCTGCACAGTGGGACACAAAACTTGGGGATGGAGAGGAACATTAAACAGGGCAGTTTAACCCAAATAACCTGGAAATGATTTCCAAGCATCCTGCATCTGCTCTTTCCTCAGCTTGCACTTCTTTCCGGTGGCAGAACTGGGATTTCCAGTCTGTCCCCATGTCCACGAGGACACTCCACACTGGCCCTTCAAACAGAACAGCACGAGGTGACGTGTGCCAGCACAGTCCCTCCCTGCAGCACTTCAGTGGCGCTCCTCCAGTGCACTAAACCCAAACAACCCCATGAGGACACACRGGGCTCATGGCAAGGGAGCTGAAGCTGAAAATACAGGCAGTGAGGACAAGCCCAGAGTCCTGGCTGGTGGCTGCACATCTGCAGCACATCTGGAAAGTGTTCAAAGATTGTGGAGCTTGGGCCTGCTCTGGGAAGCTCTGTACACAACCATGCAGGGCTCCATCCTCAGCCCAGTTCTCTTCAATACCTCCATCAAATACTTCCTCTGCTTCAAACCTCTCTCCAATTTGTCCTTTGTTTTCAGGGCTGGGCTTCTGGGATGGCTTTTTGGTGGGTTTGTTTCAATCTGTTGACTCAGGGCTTATTGCTATTCCATTGTCAATAGTGCGTGACAGAACGAACTGAGATTTGAGAGAACTGAAACTCTTTGGAACCTCAACAACAGGCTGTGTGCCTTGTGGCTGACATGCTTTCACAATCCCTTTCTTTCCAGTTTTTCCAGTATGGCCTGAATTCTGTGGACGGACTCTTTCCTGGCCTGCCGGACACTGTCCTGGCCCCCAGTCTCAATGGAATCCAGCTCCAGCAGCAGCTTGGTCAGCATCTCCTCCAGGAGCCGGTAGGATTTATCTGTCTTTCTCCCCACAAATTCATCCACCTCTTCTTCCAGCTGCTCAGCCTCGCCCATGACGTGGAGGATCCTCTGGATCTCAGGCTGGATGGCTGCAGGGTTTGTGCCAGGCTTGCGTGGGGCGAGCTCGTAGAGCTGGGGTTGGGCACTGTACTGCACCCGGGGCTGGCACGGGGCAACCTTGGCCACCCTGTGCTCGTTCAGTGTCCCCGAGGGCCGCTGGACATCAGCATAGTAACTGTGCTGSTGTGGGCTTTGCTCAGCTCTGTCGTACACAGGCTCCTGCAGGCAGAGCAGAAAACATCTCTGAGTGCATTTCCCCTAAACCCASAGGGTCCTGCTCTCATCCTGCACTGAATGGGGGACAGGCTGGGGACAGGGACCTGGGCTCTGCTCCCTGGCTGTCTGAACCAACACCCCAGCACGGGGCACTGCCAGGGAATGAGTGTGAGCCCCCAAATATTCTTTACCCAGAACAGGAGAGATTTGAACAGGTTTCAGCAGAGCTCTGTTTGGATAGATCAGAGCATCCTTCTCCGCAGGCAGCACATTCCAGAGGGAATGAGAGCACTGCTCCCAAGGAACAGCAGGCCCCATCCCCAAAAACCCTCATCAGAGCTGCTGCAGGGGACCAAAAATGTGGAGAAACAATTCCTGATSCACCCAGAGAAATCCTGTCTGAACCATCTCAAGACCCGCCCCAGGACATCTGGTCCCTCCAGTACTTTATGGAATCAGCCGTGGATTTTTGTCTCCTGCATGCAAACAGGACCTCACCTGTCCGTGTGAGTCCCAGCTGGAGGGGTGGGAAGGGACCCCGCTGCTGCTCCAGGATGGRTGGGAATCAGAGATGTAGAGGTTGCTGTGCCCCGGGGCTGCGGGCCAAGCGTAACGTGGCTGCACCCCGTACACAGAGTGGGGACCCCACGTGTCCTCCGGGGCTCTGGGCTGTGGCACAGGACCCTGCCCTGTCACCCCTGCACTGCTGTCCCCATAGGGGTACTGCGGGATGGGCATTCCTGGGGTCTGCAAGGACAGGGGCAACGGGTGTTACAATGGGGTCACAGGCAGCACCGCTCCCTCACACAGCCCTGGGGGCTGAACGGGGCAGCCAGCGGGGATCAGGCTTTGCTCCCAGGGAACAAGGGACAGGACAAGGGAAATGGGCTCAAGCTGTGCCAGGGAACAGTGGGATTGCGGCTCCACTGCAGCAGCCCCGAGCCCAGCGTGCCAGGAGCCCAAGCCCCAAGGTGCCAGGAGCCCAAGCCCAAAGCCCGAGCTCAGCAGCCGAAGCCCCAGGAGCCCAAGCCCCAAACCCCAGCAACCCAAGCCCAGCAGCCCAAGCCCCCAAGCCCAGCAGCCCAAGCCCCAAGCCCCAGGAGCCCAAGCCCAGGAGCCCAAGCCCAAGCCCAGGAGCCCAACCCCAAGCCCAGGAGCCCAACCCCAAGCCCAGCAGCCCAAACCCAAGCCCAGCAGCCCAAACCCCAAACCCAGCAGCCCAAGCCCCAAACCCCAGCAGCCCCACACTCCAATCCCAGCTGACCCTGTCCCTGACCTGCGGGGGCGAGTAGCCGGGCACGTGGTGCCTGCGCAGCGCCGAGCCCTCGCTCGGACACTCCTGGGGGCCGAAGCTCCAGGCCGGGGCGGGCGATGGGGGCCGGTAGAGGCCCGTGGGCTCCGTGGGGTACGGGCAGCGCGAGGGCCCCGAGCAGTAGAAGCCCCGTGCCTGCGGCAGGCTGGCATAGGGCGGGTACGGGGGGCTGTAGGCTCCGTTGGCGTAGGGAGAATCCATCACCTGCGGGAAGGGAAGAGCACAGCAAAGGTGATGGGACACAAACACGCTCTGGGAACAAGGACTGGCGCTTCCTACAGCGTTTAACCTTTGTCCTCAAGCTGATCTCGCCAATTTTAGGCTTTTCTGATCTAACCTGGCTGCACCAGGACTCACACTGAGCTTAACCAGATCTCACTCAACCAAGCTGGGCTCACAGACAGATGTGAGCAGCTGCTGGAAGGTTTGATCCCAGCACTGCACCACTGACCAGAGAAAGGAAAATRCTCCAGGAAAGTTCATTTCCCTGCTCACTGTCACCCAGACACGATGCAAACAGACAAGCTCTGCCAGCCCATATCCAGCTCCCCGAGCTGCAGGACCTGTGGGACTGCGTGTGGAAGCTCTGCATAATCAGGACACATCTGAGGATTTACCTGGATCCATCCCAGTAACTCATGTGTATGGAAGGTGAGTTTCCACCTAACTGCAGAGAGAATAATTAAGCMCAGGATCTCAAGAGCTCAGGGAATGACTCCCGGTAGCCTCGGGCAAGGCAGCGTTTTGCCCCTGAGCCGCTCCACGGAGCAGAGGCTGTAAAACCCCTGTGTGCTGGGGTTATGGGAGAGCCGGGTCAGAGCTCCCAGAGCACATCCCGGAGGAAAAACTGAACCGCAGACCCCGCTCTGCAAGGGCAAAGAGTTTGCACCGGAGCCCGAAACCGAGCCCGAAACCCAGCCACGGTAAAACCCATATCTACGGGATCCGGGCACGGTAAAACCCACATCCATGGGATCCGGCACGGTAAAACCCACATCCATGGGATCCGGCACGGTAAAACCCACATCCACGGGATCCGGCACGGTAAAACCCACATCCACGGGATCCGGCACGGTAAAACCCACATCCACGGGATCCGGCACAGTAAAACCCACATCCACGGGATCCGGGGATGCCCCGCCGCGGGACCGTGGCTCTCCCGCTCAGCAAACCGGTCCGGGATCACCGCATTCCCGGGCTGTCCGCACTGACACACGTGCCCCACACTCGTCCCTCTTTCCGGTCCCGTTACGCGCCCGAGATCCGCGAGCGGAGCCCCGAGAGAGCGGCGGGAGCGGCGGGCGGGGGCAGAACCGGGGCACTGCCCGCGCCTCGGGACCGCCCGGCGCGCCCGTTACCGGGGCAGGGCTGGGCCGAGCGGCGCCCGACCGCCCCGGGGGACCGTGCCCGTACCCGTTACCCGTGCCCCGTTACCCTCCCCATTACCCGCGCTCAGCCCGTGCGCCGTTACCCGCCCCGCGCCCGGTTACCCGCCCCCGTTACCCGCGCTCAGCCCGTGCTCCGTTACCCGGCCCGTGCCCCGTTACCCGCCTCCGTTACCCGCCCCGTGCCCCGTTACCCGCGCCGTGCCCCGTTACCGGCTCCCCGTTACCCGCCCCCGTTCCCGTGCCCCGCTCCCCGTGCCCTGTTACCCGTGCCCATGCCCCGTTACCCGCCCCGTACCCCCTTACCCGTGCCCTGTAACCCGCCCCATACCGCCCCGTTCCCCGTTCCCCGCCCCGTTCCCCGCTCCCGTTACCTGCGCGGGCGGCCGCGGGGTCCCGGCGGGGATCGGCGGGCCCGCTCCCACCGCGCGGGGTTCCATGGCGGCCGCTCAGGCCCCGCCCCCTAACGCTCGGCGTCCAATCACGGACCGCTCCCCGCCGCGCCGGCCAATCGGCGGCGGCCCCGCGCGCACCCTCAGGCGCGGTATAAAAGGGCGGCGCGGGCGGGCCCCGCCCCCCGCGGGCGGTTCCGGGGCAGCGGCGGCTCCGGCGAATGGCGGCGCTTCCGCTGCGGCCGCACCATGAACTACATGCCGGGCACGGCCAGCCTCATCCAGGACATCGACAGTGAGTGCGGCCCGGCCCGGCCCGGCCCAGCCCGCCCCGTCGGTGCCGCTCCGCCCCCGGGGTTTGGCATCCCGCTCCCCCCGGTCCTGCCCGCCGTTCCCCCGGGGCGCTCGGAGCCCTCTCCCCGCAGGGATCCGCCCCGGGGCGGGGGTCCGGGCTCCCCGCGGGCCGTGACCGACCCCCCGCTCTCCTTTCCCCGCAGAGAAGCACCTGGTGCTGCTGCGGGACGGGCGGACGCTCATCGGGTTCCTGCGGAGCATCGATCAGTTCGGTACGGCCCCGGGACACCGGGGACACCGGGGACACCGGGGACACCGGGCGGGGATGAGCGGGAGCAGGAGCCGCCGTGCGTTTTTGGAATGTGTTTGTGCGGTGGGTTAAGCGCCCGCCTCTGTGTCCCCCTGCAGTTCGTGCTTCACACAGGTTTTTCTCAGAATTGGGAACTTCCCCTCCCGTGATTGCATCCAGCGCTGATGCTCCGGCAGCGCTTTTTGAGCAGAAACATCGCTTTTTGAGCAGAAACATCGCTTTTTGAGCAGAAACATCCCTTTTTGAGCAGAAACATCGCTTTTTGAGCTGGGTGATGTTCATACTCCAAACAAATAGTCGGGCTTTGCCCAGAACTTGCAGCACCAACATTGCCATAATCCTCTCTGCTCCCGGGGGCGCGGGGGGCTCGGGGGGCTCGGGTGGGCTCTGGGGTGCAGAGAACCGGGGAATCTCTGTGTGCCTTTCTAATCCCCTTCAGTGAGCGATGGGAGAGCACCCATGGGCACAGTCCCTGCTCTGGGGGCACAGCACACGCTGTGCAGTCAGAATTGAGCTTTTCTGTCTCTTCTTTATTGCCGCAGCAAACTTGGTGTTGCACCAGACCGTGGAGCGCATCCACGTGGGCAAGAAATATGGGGACATCCCTCGGGGCATCTTCGTGGTGAGGGGCGAGAACGTGGTTCTGCTGGGGGAGATTGTAAGTGCACGGTCCCGCTGCGGTCTGGGACTGAGCTGGGGGTGTCTGTGTTCTGTCTGTGTGTCTGTCTGTCTGTGAGCTGTGCTGTTCAGCTGCAGTTGGAGCTGGGTCCGGGGCGGTTTCAGCCATCGCAGAAATGCCAACCTGCAGGGCAGAGATGGCTCCGGTCACTGCAGCCCCTCGGGATGGCAGAAGGGATGGAGAACAAGGCAGAGGAGCTGTGGGGAGGCTCAGCCTGTCGGTGGCATTGCTGGGGAATGTCATTATTGTTTGCTGTTATTTCTCTGCTGCCTTGCACCAGGGGTCACCATGGGGATGGGCTGTGCAGGAGCTGAGCTCTGTTTGCTTTGGGGTCTCCAGGAGCCCCTCCATGACTGTCCTGGGGGATTTTACCCACTCCCCCACCCCTTAGAGTGCTTGCAGCCCCTCTGTGTGCTGCCATCACCACCCTTGGGTGGGGTTTGTGGATGGTGTGAGGGTGCATGTGCAGGGCTGAACGGGGTGTGTGTTCAGAACTGAATGGTGTGTGTGCACAACTGAACAGAGCGTTTCTCCTGCAGGACCTGGAGAAGGAGAGCGACACCCCGCTGCAGCAGGTGTCCATTGAGGAGATCCTGGAGGAGCAGCGGGTGGAGCAGCAGGCCAAGCAGGAGTCGGAGAAGCTGAAGGTGCAGGCGCTGAAGGAGCGAGGGCTCTCGGTGCCGCGGGCAGACACTCTGGATGAGTACTGACACTGCTGCCTCCTCCTCCTGCAAAAGGAACAAGGGCTGTTCCACACCCGCTGRGCAGGGACACGCTCCCTGGGAAGGCGGGTTGTGTTCTCAGATTGTATTTTCCGTGGTGCTGGTAACCGTTCACAAATCATGCCTTTGGTCTCCTTGAGGAAAGGGGGACGAGGAGGGCCCGGCGCACAGGGAGTGTTTGTGTTTGGGAGGCAAATCACTGCTCCTTGGCTTTGTTTGCTTTTTCCTCCTCACATGACTCTGGGTGAGAGTTTTCCTTGACTTGTAAATAAATCCTTGATCCTGACATTGATGGTTTTCCAGTATTTTTGTGCTCTTTCAGGACGAGCACTCCTCAGGCCAGCTCTTGTCCCCTCGTGTGCTGCACAGGGGGAGATGAGCCCTTGGTCCTGCCTTGGGCTGGGCTGAGCTTGCTCTGAGGGAAATTTGGGAGCTTTTGGTGAGATCCTTCTGCCTGGGATGGGAGCAGAACCTGGGTACCCCAACAGAAACTCCCAGTGCCCCTCAGCCAGGCTGTGCTGCTGCCCCTAATTAGCAGATGAACCCCTAATTAGCAGCTGAACCCCTAATTAGCAGCTGATGAAGAGCTGGGGCAGCCCAGCCCTGCCCCTGCAGCCCCTCCTCACCTCAGCACTCAGGAGGAGCTGCTGCAGCTCTGGAAATCCTCTGCCCTGAGTGTTGTCCCTCTTTCCCTGGGTTGGAGAGTCCTTGAGCACGGTCAGGGCTGGCTTTGGGCAGCTGCCAGGCTCCAGGAGCCTCCTCTGGGCACAGAGGGCAAATCTCAGTCCCTGTGGAGCCTCAGCTGCTTTCCTGGGCAGTTTTTTTTTTGGTTTGGGGGAAGATGTGTCTGCCCTATTGGGCTCGAGTGGGTGTTGTGGGTTTGGGGTTGTCAAAGGTTTAAACCAGGAAATGCAGTTTAATAGAAAGTTTAATAAAAAGCATTTATGGAGCTGGCTCCTGTGGCTGGAAAATCTCCAAATGCTCCAGGGGCAGCCTTGGGATGGAGGGACACCCTGGAATGAGGGGGACGCCATTGGAATGGGGGGACACCCCTGGGATGGGGGGGAACACCATTGGAAAGGAGGGGACACCCTTGGGATGGATGTCCCAGTTAACCAGAACCCCTTGAGGGTTCTGGATTCTTTTTTTGGGGTCTGTGTCCTGTTTTTGGGGTTGATCCCTTCACGTGCTGTGGCACAGTGTGACTGTGACATTGTCCCCTCCTCAGGGGCACCGATGGGGCCGTGCCCCCCACCCCCCAGCCCGAGGGGCAGCTCTGCAGCTCTGCACGGGTTGTTTTGGTTCCTCTGACAAACAAACGTGTCCTTGTGCCAAGGCCTCGTGCCAGGAGCGGCTGCTCCGTCTGGGATTACAATCCTGGGATAACAATCCTGGGATAACAATCCTGGGATAACAATCCTGGGATAACAATCCTGGGCTGGCACTGGGGGCTCTGGGGGCCCTGGAGCTGTGTCCCCCTCGCTGGCAGGGCAGGGACTCTGGGGTTGGGGACAATGCCCAGCATTGGGGTGTCCCTGGGCACCATTGGGGTGTCC